CCATAAATCTCATCCTCCTGCAATGCTATGGAAAGATATCCCAAACACAGGAATTTTCTCAGGCTGGAGAGGCAGGGAAAAGAAAATGGCCACACTTCAAAAGTGTATTAAAATATTTCTTGCTCTGATTATCACAAAAAACAAACAGCAGCAGAAACTTGTACACCCATGTTCCAAGAAAGGGGAGACCTCATGGAGTGGCCGTCCCATTCTTCAGGAAGGTGCTAGGGGCAAAGGGGCCAAGAGCAGCCACTCCAGCAGGGAATTTCAACCCTGGCACGGCCAAGGCTGGCACCAGGAGCCTTCCCAGCTCAGGTGCTCCCTGAGCAGGGAACAGGGTATGAACAACATCATACACGTGGGCACACAGAAGGAATGGTTTGACTCCAAAGGCATTTTCTCTCAGCACATAAACACTGCAGGAATTTCCCTCGTGTCCCAAAGAGCCTCGCTCTGTGCACAAAGTCCACTCACAGCACTGGTTATTTTCTGTCTGAAAACAAGAGAGGCAAAACAAGAGAGTGCAGTCCACATTCTGAGGTTCAGAGAGGCTCTGCAGCCATGGAAGGAGCTATTTTGGGAGATCTGTGTGGTTGCTAGGGCAAACCACTGCACCATCCACCAAGCGGGATCTGGTTTGTACGCCAGGAGAGGAGGAAGAAGTTGAGATTTCTAAAGAGATGACTAAGCTGGGTAACGTGAGAAACCAAATGAAATGCCAGGCTGTGGAGAAATACAGCTACAGCTTCCATCAGGACTCACTGAGCTCCTCCATGGAACACTCCCGGTTGGTCTGAGCCAACAGAGCCTAGACCAGCTTGGAAGAAACTTCCAAAGGTTGTACAAAGCATCCTGCTGCCTCCCCAGGCAGGATTAACTATATCCAAACATACCTGACACAGGGCACACCACCACTGAACCAGAGCATTTGTTCATACAGCTCCCTGGGATCGGTATTCCTGGTCCTTTACACAAAGGAGTCAATGAGGCAGGCAGAAATGCACACCAAGCCTCCTGCAAAATTAGGGAATCGTTCCAGATGCAAAAAAAACCACAATTAACTGATGGATCGGTTTTCTAGGAGCTGTATATGCATGGAGAGCTTCTCATTTTCAGAATTACTGGAGCCTTGGTTTACATCAACACATCTGGATAGTCTTATGTAGTTTACAAAAGACCGTGACAGTTTTTCTATCCATTTCTATCTATTTTTTGAGCTTTCAGCTCAAAAAATGTCCTTAGAAAGTTAACAGGGCAAAGGCTGTAAAGAGAGGACAAAGTTGTGTGAGGGTTAAACTATGTTCCCTTTACTCCACAGACGGTGAAGAAGGGAAACTCAAATGCATGAGACCAGAGAATATTTGATAAGGATTTAAACTGCTGAGGGGAGACTCAGACAATAATCTGATTTAGGCCTTGCAGTGAAATGAGCAGTGCCTGCTAAGGCTTAGTCAAACTCCAGCACACCCCACTCCTAACAGGCAGCACTCCCAGCTCAGCCTGGCATTACAACTCATTTACAGCTCTTTCCCCCTGTTCTGACTGCTGAAATAAAAAGGTTCAAAAGAATGATGAAGAGATTTAAGCTCTGCAGAGACCACAAACTCAGTGAAATTCCGAGCCACCAGACCTAGGTATCACTGCTGCAACCCCTGGGAGTGACACTGAGGGCACAGTGACCACCAGGACTGAAGCAGAAACCTCTGCTACAGGTGGTGGCTGGACATCCAGTGTGGGCCACACCTCTGCCACAGTCCCAGGCACACTCCATAGGCCTCTGGGCAGCAGGGGCTGCACCTCTTTGCTGGAATAACCACAAACCAGGCAGTGTATGAGACACCAACTCGCCCTCTGGGGCCGACACAGCACAGCCCCAGCCCCCTGCCTTTACCAAAGAGTGAGGAGCTCCCAAGCTTCTGCAGTGATCCAAGGATCCAACTGTGGCCCTCCAATGACCAATGCACATGGGTACACACGTGTCAGCAGTTTAAGAAACAGCCTTGTTCGCTTTAGGTCCTGTTAAAGAGTCTAACGCTTCTAAAATCACTCAGTTCTGAAAAATGGGGCTTAAATACCACTGAAACCTAAGAACATAAAGAGAAAAACATATGTGCACATGCTCCTAAGAAACCAAACAGCTTTTCAAAACAGAATTTCTCTGACATGCTCCTAAAGAAAGTGGTTTTTATTTAAACCCTGAAGGGCAGGAGAAAGACTTCAGCACATGTCAGTACGAACTCCCACTCTGCACAGGCGAAAACATTGGCATGAAAGTAAACTAATCACTTCCTAAGCTGCTAAGATGCCATTATAAAGTACAATATGTATGCCCATGTGACATTTGAACATGAACATCTCCAAGTATCACAATGTAAGGGGTTTTTTTAAACAACTTCAGGATAGAATTTGGTCACACGATGACAACACCTGTACAGAAAAGACTAAAGGGGATGACAGTCTCCCACCTCCTGACAAGTCCTCTGAGTTTAAAAGGCACTTGAATCTGACTTGGATCTATGTAAACAAAGATCATGGAAACAACTGTCTGTAGCAGCCTGAGGAAGAGGAATTCTGGTATCATCTTTCACTGTGTAGCTTTGTGAGAGGATGGAAGGGACGGAAAGAGGAAAGCAAAGCACCCACGGTCAGCAACACAGCCCGAGGTGAACAGGTCTCTTTCTTTTGTACCTTGGGCCATCAGGATAATTAGATCCTGTATAACACCCACTGACCCATGTCAGGCAGCACATATAACAGAGATCCAACCTCTCCAAGTTGCACAGAGGAGCTGCTCCATGTTGCAAACTGTGCCCTGAGCTTTAGGGACAGATTCTGGCACCGACACTTTGGCAGCACCATCCCGAGCCCACTGGACAGACCGATGGACAGTGTCACCCCACACTGGCCAAAGAGCCCCACACTCCTGGAGGTCCAGAGCCATACTGGTGAGCAAGGAGGAACTCCGGAGCCTGAGCTCCAGCTGCCCCACATCACCCAGGGATCCCACGGATCAACCCCAGCTCAGACACCACAAACATCTTTGGAAGAGCCGTGGAGTTGATGGAAAGGTCAGTCTGAGCCGCTGCACTTCTGTTTCTACCCTCCCTCCCCTGAGCTGCAGAGTTTCTAAATTAATCTGGGTCTTTAGGCTTGTCAGCTTTTATTGCCGTTTCCTACAGCAAAGCCCGGCTTTCGCACCACAGACTGCACGGCTCAAATCCCCAGACAAGCCCAGTAAGTGCTTTCTGCAATTTGCCTTTGCCCTTACTCATCCAACTGCGCTCCCTTAAGTGTCTCCTAAAAATCTAAGATAGGAAACGGGCTTAGTTTCCTCCTTATCCCCCCCTCTCTGGAACATTTTAATAGGAACACGGCAGCCAGATCCCCCTGGGAACAGCCTCGCTTTGTAGGGATTGCACTCCACGGGTCACTCTGTGGGGTCAGCCTAGACCCACAGCCCCCTCCCCAAATCCTGACCTCTGCCACTCAGAGCCCTCCTGACATGAGAATGCCAGAGGGCAAGAAATCCTGCCTCTGTGCAACAAGGCATTGTTAAAGGGAAAATTCCTCGGGTTTGGGTTTTTTTCCTAAATCCTTTACAAGGCTGAGAGAATTGGGATTGCTCAGCATGAAGAAGAAAAAGCTTCGGGGTGACCTGATTGCAGGCTCCAGTACCTGAAGGGAGCCCACAAGAAACATGGAAAGAGACTATTTACAAGGGCCTGGAGAGACAGGAAAAGGGGGAATGGCTTCAGACTGACAGAGAGTAGGTTTAGGTTGGATATTAGGAAAAAATTCTTCCCTGTGAGGGCCTGGCACAGGCCCTGGTCCAGAGAAGCTGTGGCTGTGGCTGCCCTGGAAGTGTTCCGTGCCAGGTTGGACAGATCATGGACACCTAAAGACAGACCACCACAGCCACAGGATGGATGGGGACAACACTGGACGTGGCACTGAGTGTTCTGTGGGGATCAGGCACAGGTTGGACTCAATCTCAGAGGTCTTTCCCAACCTAAACGACTCTGGGATTCTGTGAAAAAGCATGATGATGACTCTGCTGTGGCCTCCCCTGACCCCCCTCCTGTCCCCTCCCCTCGCAGGCCATAGGCACATTGCCAACGCGCTGCACCACACGAACTCAGACAAAGAAAAGAACAAAAACCTTTCTCCTGCTGGCTCTGGAGGAGGAGGGAAAGGAGGGGAATCCAGGGATCAGTCTGTCACTCTGTGCTTGTGGGTGCTGCTGCCACAGAGCACCAGGAAGCTTCACACTCCATCTGTGCGGTGAGCGGGAAGCGCGAGAGCACAGGATGGAGGAGCAGCCCCTGCCTGGAACTCCACAGTGCCACGAGCAAGGAGAAGCAGCAAAACAACATCCACGAGTCGTCTCCCACGAGCAGTCTTTCCAAGGTAACATAACACCCCTGGACATGCTTCCAGACCAGCGGAAAAGGACACAGGGCACACCTCATCATCACCTGCCTGGAAGTGCTGTGCTCCTGGCAGGGACAAGCTCAGAGCACAGCATCCCACACCATCCTGCCCACAGGCAGGGGTCTGGGACCATCATCCCGTGCTGTGACAGCCAAGGTCACTGTTTTCCCTGGGAGGGGAAACCTTTCAAGTAGCTCCACTGCTGGCAATACAGTGTTGCCAAGCTTCAGGCATCAAAACCCTGAGGTCTACTTTACACCTGGGGCTGTCTGAGGGGCTTTTTTAGTGGGTTGGAGTTTTTTCAGTGCTGTTGGGTCCATGTGACAAACTTTAAGCATGTGAGGCTCAAATCCTCATAATTAAAGAGGCAGAGAAAAGGGAAGGGGGGTAACGTGTGGTGGGACACACATGGCATCGTAACAGACATCCACACATTTAAACTATAAAACCTAAGAGGTGGGACAGCACAGATGTTCTTGCCCCAGAAGTAGCAAAGCTGGTTGAAAATAAAAAATGAAATGAAAGAATGGACTTTTAAAAGCATGATCTGATATGTCATTCATACTTACCTTGGCAAGGTCTCTTGTTTTCCAAAGGTCTGGCAGCTTCTAGGTGAACGCAGCAGCTCCGGAAGGAGAGTTTGACAGCACAGTCTGCAGAGGGATCCCTGGAAAGCAGAAGGTCTGAGTTTTCCCTCTGTGCAGTCCCATTGACAACAGACTTCAGCCTTCACAGTTCCTCCAGTTGGCTTCTCCTCAGCAGAAGGGTCTGGAGAGGAGTCCTGGGGCGGCCGTGGGACACACGAGGAGCCTCCCCGGGGAGCTGCACTGCACAGAGAGCAAACACAGGGCTGACACCACAGAGCAGCAGCTTCCCTGGGTTTATGCAACGTTTATGACTCCTGTTCAATTATGAAGGAGAGCTTACCATGGAAACTGCAAGGAGCTGGTTTGTTTAAGATACAGAGCCCTCGTTTTAAGTGAGAGCTGTTCAAAGGCAAACACCTGAACTGCACTCAAGGCTTTGCATTTCCACCCAGCCCCCAGAAGACTTGGAGGCTACAAAACAAAGGCATTTGGAATTGTTCCTCCCTAAAGCTAAGGAGCCAGGTGAAAGGAAGGAACGGATCCATTCCTTCATGCAGCCATTGTAGGGTTTGGAGGTTGGGAAAGGCCGTTTTCCATGAGGCCCCCAGGACTGCAGTGGCTCAGCAGGGCTGCCAGCCCACATCAGCTCCCGAACTGCGGAGCCGCAGGGACCCGTCCCAGTCCTGCACGGCCCACAGTCAGCAAGTGACCCAGTAATCCAATTAGGCAGCAACATGGGTTGTCTGAAGATATAAAACAAAAGGAAACAGCGAAGGGAAAAGGAAATTATGCCTAAAGCAGAGCGTATCCTCATTACTCCCCTCATCTCTAGCAGCAAGCTCAGTGTCTGGGAGACGGGGACAACACGCTACAGAAAGCCCAGCCTGGAATCATCATCAAGCACCAGGGCTGCTCTCTGACTGTATGGAAGCCCAGGCAATGAAGAGACAGTCCTTCCTAACCAGCCTGGTCAGAAGAGCTTGGCATGATGACTCCAACCTGTTCCAGCTACTTAAGGTGCCTTCCCTGGCTTCTGTCATACCACACTCAGCCACTGCCAGGTATTCTGAGGAGTGTGTCACCCAGAAACCACAAGGCTGCAAAGGGACCAGGGGAGGGACTCAGTGATCCTCAAGAGCCCCTTCCAACTCCAGATATCCTGTGATTCCACGATCATTTCTCCTGAACATGGCCCAGGCTGCTCCTCTGGGCCCTCCCTCAAGGTGTCCAGCTCCAAAGAGTATCCCATGGATGCCCCCCCCACATCCAGCACTAACGTGAACAAGTTCAGGAGAAACCACCCATTCAGCATCAAGGGTCAGAACCCCTAAGAGGAGAAGGGAAGCACACTTTTGCACTGTGAAGAAACACCACAATCCCAAAAAGGGGATTTCTGGGTAAAACAGGTGTTTAAGCTGCCCGTGGTTTTCCCGCATCTAAGAAATGAGCACAGCCAAAATGCTAAAAACACATTTTAGGTAACTTTCTAGCTGAACTCTGGCTTCTGAGGAGACAGAAGATAACCACAGGCTCAAACTCAGAGCAAGAGATGGATTTGTTTGTGGGAGTAAAAGCTCAAAAGCACAAAACCTTTCGCCTCAGCTCCCATGCTGAAGGCCCAAACAGCATCATCTGGGTGCTGGGAAAACAACAAAATGAAAGGAAAAACACCTTATAAGTGCCATTGCTCTGGAAAATTAGAATTTTTAATAGGAAAGTAAGCATAAGGTTTGTTTTATATGATGATAACTATCAGCATGTCAGGAGTTTTTATGGTTTCTCCATTATCATAACAAAAGCATCTTGCTCAAACTGCAGGAGTTAAAAATGCAGAACATCCTGACTACTTCCTAAAGATAATTCTGCAAACAAGGAATGATGAGGATGCATTCTACCACTGATTTCTTTTATTCAAAACTTTCTCAGCACTTTCAGTCTGCAGAGAGATCCAGATATTTTATCAAGATGGACCTGCAACCCAAGATCCAAGTTTGAAAGCAAGATAGGTTGAGGAGCTGAGCATCCATCTCTTGCTTAGAAAAACCCTTCTCCTGAATATTATCCTAAAGGGATTGCTTTGGCTCTGTACCTTGTGACACAAATAAAGAGAAAGCACTGTTTGCCATGCTACCAACACCTGTCTGAGTGTGGCCAGCAGCTCCACAGGTCCAGGGAGCCACCAATTCCTCGGCAAACACAACATTTTTGTACCCTCTCCACGGACAATTAGCAACAGAAGCCTGAAACGTCAAAACCCGACTCTTAATTACCGAAGTCAGCACTTAATGACTCCAATTACATTTCCACTGATTTCTGAAAATTGGATTCTTCACCACACTTGCCGTGTTTAAATGAGTTTTTTACCTCATCCATGGTAATTATATTCTGACAAACCAAATTAAAATACAGCAGAGATTTCTAAAATCCTACTTGAAAATAGTGGGGATTTAAGGACAAAAAAATTTCTTAAGCCCCCTGCCTTCCACATTTTTTAACGCGTTCCTTTCAGGGTCCAGCAGTGCAGAGGGTTAAAAGATGAGATATGCAAAGGACAGTTATGTTGTTAAAATGCCATTGAAAGGGTGTTTCAGAAGTAGAAAACAGTCTTATTTCTGTGATAGAAACTCAGTATCTTAACCCCCATATCATGGAAATTTGCTTCTTATTTTATTCTAAATCCCAAAGTTACTCTTCTCAGGTTGACCATCAGAGTGACCCCAGCAACGAGGAGATTCATTGGGAAGGAATAAATACATTTCTCAGTCACAACTACCAGCTTCTGGATCTAACCTGTGTGCTGAGACCCACCAACAACACGTGCCTCTGGGATAATCCTGGCCTCTGCAGGATGCAGTTGTACCCATTTGGGGATGCCTTCCCCTTTATCAGGGAATTATTTTCAAGTTCCTGTTCGTAATTAGCACTAGAAATGGAAAAGGACAGGAGAGTCCATTTCGAGGAACTAAGCCACCAGTGGAAAGAAGGCATAAAAACACAGTATTTTAGGGCTCATATGATACAGAGAGCAGCAAATTCTCCACAGAACATGCCCTTTCCATGCATTTTTTCTCCTGAAAAGGGAAGAGGGGGGGATAAAAACCACTAACAGCCCCTAATCCCTTTGCCAACCTCCAAACTCAAAGATCCTCTAGTTCCTCACGGCATCCAAAGCCCATCACAGCTCCAGAGGAGCACAGAGCAAAGCTGGTGCACGTGTTCAGTGTGAACTCAGGAGGACACATTCACAGGGTCACGTTCTCCCCCTGCCACAGGGATATAACGTGCTGCTGTCACAGCTACTTCTTGCAATAATACCTTTTCATTCTGCTTGTTTCCACTTTATTTTTATTCTCATCTTTCGCAAAGACTCATTACTCAGCAGTGGTTGTTGGATTTTATGTTCACATATGGTTTAAAGAGGTGGCTGTTTAATGTTCCCTATATGTAAATAACTACACGCTGCTCCAGTCCCTGCTGTGCAGGGGAAGGAATGATTAGATCATAAATCTCAAACACAGAAACACGCCAAGTTGGTTCTCATCTACAAACACATTAGAGCTTACTCTGGGTTACATTTTCTACCTTCCCTTTTACCCATGAATCCCCACTGTTTTTAATGAGCACATAAAGCAGCCAGCAACAGGAAAAATTATCCCAAAAAGCAGGAGTCCCCAAGACATCAGGAGAAATTTCTTCATGGAAAAGGTTGTCAGGCACTGGAAGGGGCTGCCCAGGAAGGTGGTGGAGTCCCCACCCCTGGAGGTGTCCAAGGGAGGCCTGGCCATGGCACTCAGTGAGTGCTCTGGGCTGGGGGACAAGGTGGGCATTGGGCACAGGGTGGATCCATGGCCTGGGAGGGCTTTTCCACCCTCAATTATTCTGTGATTCCGTGATCCTGAGCCTGAGGAAAAAGGAGTCGCTGCACAGGGAGCTGGTTTAACTCCCAGCCAAGAGCAACCACGGGACAACCCTGGAATCACAGACTGGTCTGGGTTGGAAGGGACCTTAAACCCCTCCAGTGCCAACTCCCTGCCCTGGGCAGGAACACCTTGCACCAGCCCAGGCAGCCCAGCAGTGCCAAGGTAAGAGCCAGGAGGGGCAAACACCTGCATTCTGAATGACTCTGCCTCTCCTGTAACTGTGGCACAACCCCAGTGCTGCTGCTGGAAACCAAAACACGTTTTTCAGCGTAATTTATCATCTTTTTAACACGGCTGACAGTATTCATTTCAAATCAAAGCTCCCAAGCCAAGCACATTAAAACCATTTCTATTTTTCAGAAGTGAACGCTGTGAGGGCCAGGAGCAACATTAACATACCCACTAACATTTCCAGCTTGTCCAGTATCAGAAACCAGCACGTAGAATAATCTTTTGAACTTTCCAAGGCATGGAAATGCTCTTTATTTAAAGAGGAGATACATAATTCATTGCTCAGCTGGTCTCCCTTCCTTGCTGATCCACGACAGATCACAGGAAACATTCCTACTCCCTGCCACCCCTGCTCCTGATACTCCCAGGCCTTTCAGAGCAAGGAAAGCAAAGCAGAAAAAGCTCTTGATGGCTATTGGGAAGACATCCTATACCCACAGGTAAAGGGGAAGCAGACCTCCTTCACAAGCACCCGCAGGCAGCCCATGCTGCTACCCACAAAGGCACCAGAATCACCCAAAATCTATGATACCACAAACAGGTGCAGGCACTCCCCCCTGCAACCACCTGCCTAGGTGGTGTGGTGGGTGTAGAAATCAGTCTCTGGTGGCAAACAACCAACCAAAACCAGGAAAAGACTCATAAGGCAGAAATGAAGGTGCCAATCAAGAAGGCAGGAAGAAAGGAAAAAAGATCCTTGGCCTGTGGAAGCAGGCAGGAGACAGCCTGAAACTGGGTATTAACTCAATTTATACAAATGCAATCCAAGCTATCGAGTTTGGGCATAGTCTGTCTGCACTGAGGAGTCACTGGAGTGACTGTAACAGCTACAGGATCAGAAGATCCAAACCAACACTGCAGGATGAGGATGGGAGGAACCCCAAAGCTGCTCAGGTTTGCCTTTCCCCTCCCCATACCACCCACACACA